AGACATCTACTGATGCTAGACATGAAGACATCACCGAAATATTGTTGCCTTTTTTGCCAAAGCATCAAAAAGTTGAGTTGGTATAAAACTCAACATTTGTTTTTAAGAGTGTTCTAGAATTAAATTTAAAAAAGGTTACGGAAGAATTGTGGATTTTTGGTCCCGAAATTACATAGCATGTTGTAATTTATGTATAAAGGAACGATCTTGGGAATATTAAAAAAGAAATGAAAATCATCTGAACATTCATTCGAAGCGATAGAGTAGTCCTTTTATCATCGTAAAGAATTTTATGTTTACATTAAAGAAACTGCAGAAATTGGGGAATGAAAGCCTTCCCTATTACAGGACTGTTTTAAATGTGATCCACTGTAAAGGTCTGAAATGATGAAATATTTTCAGGATCATTATCTTGTTATGGTCCGGTTCCTTGTACCACGGTGATAGTCCAAGGTAGAACCAATAAAGAAGAACTCGAACACAGGTATGGAATAACACAGATATATTACAAACAGGAATATATACAGAGAAGTAGAAGTGTTAGTATGAACAATCAGGTTTAGTAGAGAGAACAATGTAGTCTCGACCAGTATCACAATTCCAATGTCTTGCAGTAATTGACTGAACGCTACTCTGTTTCGGACTGCCAGTGACTCGACTCTTGACTCAACTTGAACTACTGACGATATTCAGTTACCCCCTCCCCCAACGGGGGCGTCATGTGTCACAAGGCCTTTTTAACGTGGGATCTCCGAGCCCGTCGGTCAAAAATATGCCCATTGAACCCATATAAACGGGTACAGGGTCGGTTTACCTCCCCGAAAGAGAATCCGCCCTTCGGCGTAGCCTCGTTCAGGTTCCTCTCCGCCCGAAGGCAGTGAGTTCAACCGATCTGTCGTTCAAGACTTGAGCGACTGACGATATTCAGTCACCCCACCACGAGGGGGTCATGTGGCACAAGGCTGTTTTCAAGAGTTGAGCGACTGACTTTTTGCCTACTTCTGAGGCGCAGTATTTATTAAGTACAGAATAGTCCATTATTATCATTATGGGTAAGATCCCATAACAGAGCTCATCTGAACATTTGCCATGGAAATAGTGATAATGTAGAGATTGGCTTGCAATGTTGAGTTTGTGGGAAAGAAGCTGAAGAGTGGAGAATAAGCCTTCTCCTACAGGACTGTTAAAATGTCTGAGCTGTAATGGTCTGAACTGGTGGAACCAAAGAAAGAAGCTCATTTGAACATTTGCCATGGAAATAGCGAGAGAGGTGCGATGGGATTGCAATGTTGAGTTTGTGGGAAAGAATCTGGTGAGAGGAGAATAAGCCTTCCCTCACAGGACTGTGTAAATGTCCGAGCTGTAAAGGTCTGAACTGGCGGAACTAAAGAATGGAGCTCATATTAAGATTTGCAAACAGACTGTCAGACAGCTGCGAATAACACTCGCACTGATGGTACTTGCTTGATAATACTCGCTCGAATAGTAACCATCGAATAGTGAACCTTATACTAATCAGTATAAAGAAATACTATAGTGAATAGTAGAGAGATAGAGGATAGTTTAAAAAGAATGTTCCGTATAGTAATAGAGGATAGTATATAAATGGTGATGCCTTAGACGCCACGCTAATTCCCATATATATATATATATATATATATATATATATTTTGGCATCACGTGATATACTAATTCAAAATGGGGCCGCTTGTGTTTCATATCTGATGATCTCTGTTCAAACTGCAGATTGACTATTGTTTTAGATTGTAAGATTTTTTTTTGGAGATAATAACTGTTCAGCGATGCAAGACTTACTAATTAACCCATAGCTGGGGAGAGAAGAGATGGATTCATACGTTTTCCAAGGGTACTTGCGCCTAAGTGAATATAAGGAAGCTAGCGTGAATTGGAACTCGTCTCTCAGATTAACAAATTCCCAGCAATATATCCATTAGACTACTAGCACGTCGAAGCTTAGAGCACAGATTATTCCCAATCGGTCACCATCAAGTTACTGGCCAAGCTTGACGTTCCTTAACGTCGGTGACTGTACGATGTTTCGACGTTATGTGGGTGTAAGCCACTTCTTTCTAGAGAGATTTTGAAAGAAGATATAAAAAATGCATGATCAAATAATGGCGCACTGTTTATTATGTTTTCGCATATAAAACCAATCCAGGAAGAGAGCATGTTGAAAAAAGAGAAAAAGTTAAAAGAAACAGAGAGAGAGAGAGAGAGAGAGAGAGAGTTTTTGGGAGAGTGGGGAGGGCGGGAGGTAGAAAGAAAGAGAGGAGGATAAACAAATAAAGCGAAGAAGGAAAAACCTGTAAAAAACAACAGAAATATAAAAGAAGATGTACAAATAGGCTAAATGAAAAAAAAAAAACTATGAATGAATGTATTAATAAATAAGTAAAAAAAAAAAAAAAAAATAAGGAGATTTAAAGACGACATAAATTACATCGGCCGGAAATTGAGTAGGAAAAATGGTGGAAAAAGATGAAGGAATGTATTTGCCAATGAATTGTGATCGGGAAAGAAAGCAAAAAAATGGCAATAAGGAAAATAGAAGAAAATGTAAAAATGAAAACTATATGGAAAGAGTAGAAAGAAAGAAAGAAAGAAAGAAAGAAAGAAAGAAAGAAAGAGAGAAAGAAAGAAAGAAAGAAAGAAAGAAAGAAAGGAAAGCGTCTTAAAATAAGGAAAGAAAAATAAGGAAATATTGTTCAGAAAATAAGGAAAGAGTGTTAAAAATGAAAGAAAATAAGGAAAGAGTTTTATGAAAAAGAGAAAAGAAAGAAAGAAAGAAAAAAGAAAGAAAGAAAGAAAGAAAAGAAAAAAGAAAGAAAGAGAAAAAGAAAGAAAGAAAGAAAGAAAGAAAGAAAGAAAGAAAGAGGATGGCGGATACAAGAAAGATGGCGGATGCAAGAAAGAACCGCATATAGAACAACAAGGAAATTAATCCTCGGAGTAAAAAAAAAAAAGTTATAAGGAAAGAACAAACAAAATAACAGAAACGAAAGAAAGAAAGAGAGAAAAGAAAAGAAAAAAAAATGACTAAAAGAATGAAAGAATGAAATGGGTAAACAGGAATTAAATTAACAGAGATATAGATCCAGGAGGTATATATATATATATATATATATATATGTGTTGTGTGTGTGTGTGTGTGTGTGTGTGTGTGTTTGTGTGTATCAAGAACAAATAAATTGAAAAAAGATTTTAAAGAAGGAAGAAATTGTTAGAGGAGACAGGAAAGAGTACGATACCGGAAACGAATACAAGAAGTAAAGAATGAGATGAAGAAAGAACAAACCAAATAACAGAAAACAAAGAAATAACCAAAGGGAGAGAGTGAGAGGGGGGAGAATATAGCTATTTTAGAAAGAAGGAAAGATAGAAAGAAAGAATGAGAGAGAGAAGAAGAAAGAAAGAAAGAAAGAAAGAAAGAAAGAAAGAAAGAAAGAAAAGGATGAGGGGAAACATGGTTACGACAGAAAAAACCGCGAAACGAAAACAAGAATTAATAGAAAGATATAAAGAAAGAACAAACAAAAGAAAAGGAAAGAAAAGAAAAGAAAAGAAAAGAAAAGGATAAAGATAGACAGACTTACAGACAGACAGACAGAGATAGAGAATGAACGCAATGGGGCATTCATAGAATACGTAAAAGTTATAAAACCGGGAAACGAATCTAAAAAAAAAAAAAAAAAAAAGTGAAAAATACCCACAAGAAAGAAAAAGAACACAATCATTAGAAAGTTAAAAAAAAAAAAAAAAAAAACAAAAACAAACAAAAAAACATAAGAATGAAAGTATAAATATGAATGAGAAAAAACTGTAAGAAACCGAAATTTCAGACGAGGAACAAAAATGAGAAGAAAAAAGTTACTTTTTTTCATTCTCTGGAGTGAAACGTTTTTATAGTTGTAAGTGTATATCGGCTATGGGAGGCGGGAAATGAAAGAAGTTTTCAAGGGACTGATGGTGGAGATAATCTTCTTTCTTTTTCCTTCTGAATTAATGATGCGCACAAAACGAATAGGATAGCAAATCAACGAAATAACTGATCATGGTCAGAAATATTAAATAGATTTTTAGAAAGAGAGAAAATAAGAGAGAGACAGAGAGAGAAAGAGAAAGAGAGAGAGAGGGAGAAGAATGCAACATGGGTGGACTGATTGACATTTCTTTAAAGTTGGAACGGGGTGAATAAATCAGTACTGAAGATGATCAGGAAACGATGAAAAACCATGAGAGACATGGATGGCATTTAAAACATTTTGTGGGCGGAGGAATTTAAGGCCCACGACCGATCATAGTTTTTGAACAGAGATTTAAGTTTGACTGAAATATATATAGGCATTATCTATCTATCTATCTATCTATCTATCTATCTATATATATATATATATATATATATATATATAGAAAAAAGTTTCAAATTAAAAATTATAATGTTTAATTTTATGAAAGTATTTATTTATTTATATATATATTTGATATTTCAAATTGTCCTCAATTTTTCATCAGAAATAACTGTTTTGTTACAAATAAATTAAAATTACTGTTTGTTAGCAAGTAGCGTCCTTATATATATATATATATATATATATATATATATATATATCTGTATCTATCTCTCTCTCTATCTCTCTCTCTCTCTATTTATAAATATATATATATATATATATATATATATATATATATATATATATATATATATATATATAAATAAAAAAAAAACAAAAGTAAGTAAGATAAAATTAAAACAGAAAGAATAGATATTTCAAATTTTTACAAAATAGTGCTCAATGTAAATTTATTAGAGCATTAATATTATAAATTAATTTTGAAACATGTATTTTGGAACTGTAAAGCGAAAAAAACATATTTTAAATCAATTAATTTTAATATATATATATATATATATATATATATATATATATATATATATATATATATATATATATTCGTTCCTATCTGACTATCTAACGATTATGCGTTTCTGTCAATCTATTTATCTATCTGTCTCTGTTCCTATAGAACTCGCTATCATTCCATCCATCCATCCATCCATATCTATCTATCTATCTATCTATCTATCTATCTATCTATCTATTTATATCAGTTTATTTCTTTGTTTCTTTTTAAACAATTTCTTCTTTCTATCTATCTATCTATCTATCTATATATCTATATTCATATATATATCTATATATATTAATCTATCTCTCTCTCTCTCTCTCTCTCTATATATATATATATATATATATATATATATATATATATATATATATTTATCTTCGTTCTTATCTGACTATCTAACGATTATGCGTTTCTGTCAATTTTCATCTATTTATCTATCTCCGTTCCTATAGTACTCGCTATCATTCCATCCATATCTATCAATCTATCTATCTATCTATCTCTTTGTATCAGTTTCTTTCTATGTATATATTTATCTATCTTTTTCTGTATGTTTTTGGGGGGTATTTAAAAAATAAAATTTTCAAGTAATGCATAGATATACATTTCATATGATTAACTGTACACAGGGGCATAACTAAATATGCATAGAAAAAGGGAAAACTGATTTAATTTTAATGGCTCAAAAAATTTTCATATAATGCAAATTTGAGATTTTAAAACTTTCAAATTGCTTTAATACTCTAGATTATTCAAGTGGAATATTCTAAAATTTTTAAATAATGTTACCAATGGTTAAACATACAAACAGAAAATTCTGTAATTAATGATATGCGGACAAGAACGTTTTCATCATTGCAAAAGGTAAGAACTGCCATATTCGCAAAAAGAAACTGAATGTTAAGCTCTGGAAAGACAGTAAAATGTACAGGAAAATCTCAGTCAACCTGAATTTTCCATTAATTACCATTAGTTCGTTTCGTTGCAAGTTATAAAATAACTCAAAACTGTTGAAAACCAAGAAGAACTGATGCTCCACTGAAGATTTCTTCAAGATCTTTGAGGAAATTAATTCGTCAAATTAAACAAAATACAATGATTACTCTTCAAGAGTTGCAGGATGATTTGCTTTCATCCGGAATCTGTGTCCATAAACAGACAATATGCAATGGACTTCATAGGAACAGTCTATCGTCACTGCCATTGCAAAAAACACAGAGAAGCCAGGTTGAAATTCGTTCGTGAATATAACGATAAGGAAACACGTATTGGAAAAGTGTCTTCTGGCAAGACGAAACCAAAACAGAGTTGTTTGGCCGTAATTATAGAAATCATATATGGAGAAAAAATGGCGATGCCTTCAAACAAAAGTTCCAACGGTGAAATTTGCTGGTGACAGCATCATGATTTGGAGATGTTTTTCTGAAAGGATACTGGCAACATATCAGTAATCGATGGTAGGATGAATACCGCAACATATCAAATATTTGGGAAGCAAATTTAATAATATCAGTTGAAAAACTTGAACTTCCTCCTGGTTTGTTCTTCCAACAAGACAATGTTCCTAAACACGCTAAAAAATATACAAAGAAATGGCTTGCTGAAAATAATGTAAATGATATGGCCAATCATTCCCCAGATTTAAACCGAATCGAGAATCTGTGGCGTTATTTGAAAATTCAAATCAAATCTGGAGCTCCAACAAAGATCCCGGATCTGAAGACCATATGCGAAGAAGAATGGAAGAAAATACCAACTATAATTGGCAAATCATTAATTGAGAATTACAGGAAGAGGTTGGTTCCTGTAGAAGTGAATAATGGCTCTACTACAATGAATTCAATGAAGATTATGTTTTTTTTTTGTATTGTACGAATACTTTATTCACCCATTAAAATAGATAAATTGGATTAATTTCTATCAAATGATTTTTTTTTATTTTCTATGCGTGTTTAAATATTAATGCATCTGCGTACAGTTAATTATATAAAAATATGTATATTAATTAGTTGGGATTACAATGAATTAAAAATTTGTGTAGGACTATTTGCCCCCCTCCCACTACTGTCTATCTAGCTAGATAGACTGATAGATATCTACCTATCTATATATTTATCCATTACTTACTTACTTACTTTCATGGTTTCTCTCTCTCCCTTTCTTTATTTCTTTCTTTCTTTCTTTCTTTCTTTCTTTCTTTCCATTTCTTTGGTTTTTTATCTTTATATCTCCCTATTTCTCTATCTATATCTCTCTCAATCTATCTATCTACATTCCTTTCTTTCTTTATTTCTTTCTTTCTTTCTTTCTTTATATATATTATATATATATATATATATATATATATATATATATATATCAGTCTCAATCCGTTTCTCTCTCTCTCTGAATCTCTATCTCTCCATATATCTATCTCTCCGTTTGCCTGATTCTTCCTTTGTATGTCTGTCTGACTTTGTGTCTCACCATATATATTTGTATCTATCTAACTATCTATCTATCTATCAATCTATCTACCTAGCTATGTTTATATCTCTCTCTCTCTCTCTCTATATATATATATATATATATATATATATATATATATGTGTGTGTGTGTGTGTATGTGTGTGTGTGTGTGTTTATCAATCCGTTTCTGTACTGTCTGTCTCTCTCTCTCTCTATATATATATATATATCTATCTGTTTGCCTGACACTTCCCCTGTCTCTCTCACTATATATATATATATATATATATATATTTGTGTGTGTGTGTCTCTGTGTGTGAGAGAGAGATTCATCATTAAAAAAAAACAAAAGAACTCCTGGATTTAATGAGAATATATTGTCTATCATATTGACGTATTCTTGCTAATGACAGCGATAACAGCGAAGTACTTGAACAATGCAAGAATAACAACTTGAGTTTTGGATCATCACATTAATCCATATAAACGACATCCGACCCAGAAAGAAGAAAATGCAATAAAAATAAATAGACATTTTGTGTTGAATTTAAGAAAACCTGCTTGAATACATATGTCTACTTCCCCTAGTAATACAAATTGACGTATTACGATGATATAAATATATTTAAAATCAAATAAACTAGAATTATTTAAAACCATTTATATACATATTTACTTAAGGTTTTTACATAAATATTATATTTTATTTTATTTATAATGGAAAATTATCGAGTCCCCATAAACAAATTCAGATTAAATTATGTGTTGTAGAGTAGTTTTCCCAGTTGAGGCTTGTATTTCACTAAGTCGATCATAAAAGGGTCCGACGTACAAAACGTTAGGAACTTGAAATAATAGTCAATGACGCAGCAATCTATTTGTGATGGTTGCTACTTTAAGATCCGGCATCGACTGACTCACCAACTCCACTGAGTCCTGGCGAATGCTACTACTACTACTTATTATCTGTGGGAGAGTCTATTAACAATAGAATAAGTATGTTCCGGTATAACATTATGTGGCAGAAACAAGACTTTAAGCTAGAAGTAATTTAATTGACTTTTTTGCTTTTTTTTAAAGTCTGAATTACGTACACATGCCGCAATTACGCATGGTTTTACAAAAAGTGAAGGTGAGAGAAAAGACTGTGTATAGGCGGCGAGGGCAAAATAAGAAAGGATAAGCCTGAACGGGGTTCAAGAAGATGGAAAAATGGCAATTGACATTGCATTTAAATTTTTGAAGGTTGTAGTTATCAGGTAAGCAAGGTAACAGGGGGGATTTCCATAGGTAGGAGAACTGAGAAAAGAAGTTGCTGGAGTAGTAGTGGCAGTAAAATTTAACTAATCCAACATTAAAAGAGTGGGACCTAGATGCCAATCAAGTAGCACACTTAAACTCACATAGTCCTGGTACTAGGAAAAAAAATCTTTTGAAAAATTCAATAGATTTATCTTGTCCGTCTATGCAGAGTTAACATTATGTAGCCGTTCATTGATTGAATTGTATCTTTTTACGATTCATCTAACTTATCATGCTATTTAAAACCAGAAAATATTTTTAGATATTATGCAATTTTTAAATTTATAAAAATTCACTGATAGAAAACCTTTAACTACTTGGGAGATAAGACATTAAACCTGTTTATTACTTTATTCACCATATACAGGACGCGATGTGTAAATATTTTACATTTCGCGCATGCACCTTGTATAATTTTTATTTTTTTATTTTCGATTATACAGTATAGTTGGGCACCGCCTGTGATGAAATGAGCTCCAAAACGCAATTTGTTCAGCCAAAAATTTAGAAAGGACATGCTGTACTGCTTGACATTCGCGGCGGAAGATCCAATACGAACCTTTTAGAGTGTTTGGGTATCAATCTGAGGACATGGCAGTCAACATCATGTTGTTAAGAGATATCACTAGTGATGATGACGTTATGCCGCCATTTATTTTGCCTCAGACTTAACACAGAGGCCTCCATCAAGTACCTTGAAGAGGTAGCACTGCCCTGGGTCAAGAGGGTGGATGCTAGATGACAATATATCTGGCAACAGGACTCTGCACCATGCCACACAAGCAGAAGAGCCCAGTCATGGCTCTCAGACGATTTCTTCGACCACATCACCCCTTATATCTGGCCACCTAACTTCCCAGACTATAATAACCTTGATTATTATCTGTGGTGTGCATTTGAGGGAGAGACCGACAAAATTCCTTGTAACACCAAAGAAGAAATGAAAGAAAGGATTATGACAGCATTCACCAACTTAACCAAGTCCAGAAGTGATGCAGAAGTCGTCTGGAGGCACTGGTTGAAGCCAATGGGGAATTTATTAAATAAATTTACTCGTTAGTAATTCAAAATATTTTTTTTTATAATTTTGGTAAATGTATCTCTTAAAATGAAATGTCAGTGTCATTTTCATTTTTGCATAATGTAGACAATTTATCCAACACACCCTGTATATATGTAGGTGTGCTGAATAAGTTATAGGCCTGCTATGTAGGAGCGATGTTTGAGCTATGAAATCTTGCATGCATTGATTTCAAATCTTCTTATTGCTAACTGCATTGTGTTCTTCCAGGTATACTTACACAGGAGAGTTAAACTGTCTGTTCAAAGAAGACTGTTCATCTTTTCGGTCAAAAAGGCAACAGCAGATGTAGCGTCATCATAACGTCGATATTAGTTACTAGTTTCAAGTTTTTATGCTGGGGAACAGATGATAGTCAAACCCGGGAAATAAGGGGAGTGTTCAAGCGATTCTAAATCACTGTCAAAAAGAGCAGCCAATGAAAACAAGTATGAATCAAATCACCTTTCGTTAGTTTTACAGGGGAATCGGTCTTGATAGCATTTCATATGTGCCTCGGCAAATTGGAATACTTTCCCCCATTGATGACAGTCAACAAACACAAAGTGTTTTGCATCCCCCCCAAAAAAAAATGAGATCACCACCTTCCGTGCAGATGAACCGGCCTTGGCCTTCTTTAGAGCAGTTGAGTAGGATTGTCCAACTGCATGAAAGTTAGGAAACAAACACCTCATGGGTGAGGAGACGTTCTAAGAAACCAGTTGTATTCTTCTGAAACAATGACAGATATTCCCGTGATAGAAGTGATCAGCCTGGTGCGCTATTAATCAGGATTCAGAAGACGTAACACCCGTCTTGCAGAAACCTATGCACACACACACACACACACACACACACACACACACACACACACACACACACACATGTAAAAGTGAACATTGACGTCGACACTCAGTGGTTGTAAGAGTTGACTTCTTTATATTTATATTTACATACGCTCTATCTCTGATATTCAGCACTTTATCCAATAAATATAGCACAGTTTAAAAGCACAGTATATATATATATATATATATATATATATATATACAAGTATAAGATTGGTGGATACGGAATAAGTTCACATTAACCAAAAATGCTATTCTTAAAAGAGTGCTCAGTACAGAGTAGAGCATATATAATTTATTCGAAGATTATAACATAAATATGTTATAAAATCACTTTAAAAATAAACATTTTGTTTCAACTCTTCTGGTGTCTTATCAAGTGATGGTGTTGAATGTAGGATAAAGAGATTTTTATTTTTATTTTTTTTTAAAGAAATAAAAATCTCTTTATTCGACATTCAACACCATCATTTGATAAGACACCAGAAGTGTTGAAACAAAAAACTGAACCGAACTGAATACGTCGAAACATAAACACCGAAACTCATACATCGAAAACGACAGGAGATTATCCATCACACACACACACACACACACACACACACACACACACACACACATATATATATATATATATATATATATATATATATATATATATATATGTTGGAACAAACAATCAAACCGACTGCTTTCAATATCAGCGTTTATTTCGTCACAAACAAAATAAGTGAACAGTATCGTTATATAATGCCAGTTCTAGAGAAGGTTGTTGAAAATACCATCGAATAAAAAACGAAGTAGTTTTAGAGAAAACTGAAACAAAGGCAGACTTAAACTTAAAGCCAGGAAGAGGCATTTAAAATTTACAAAGCCCATAATGAGGAAAGAGGGTTTGGTAAATCTGGTACTCAAAGGACAGTTTGAACGTAAGAGGAACAAGTTATAAAATACCTAGCGCGCATTATTAGACTAAGCGAAGGTTTCAGCGAGATATCACAAATACATATTTTATCAAGAGCTATAAAGAATTGAAGAGAGGCATGATTGTGAACGTCTTGAAAGGACGAGACGCTTAAAAGAAATAGAATCTATCTATCGTAAATGTTTAGATAAGTAGGTTGCAAAAACCGGTTGAACAATGTGTCTTAAGATTAACAACTAAGTCACTGGGATAGAGCAACAGCTGAGAATCGAACTGACAAAGGTAATCACGATCTACAAAGCTGGCTTGACGGCATTTCTTGGCTACGCCATTCCTCGTTCAAGGGCCAGCTTATTTGGTCGTCCAGTGTGGATGGTTTACCAGGCCGGCTTAGGAATCCTGACAGCACCAAAGCTGCACTGCGTTGATTCTTCTAAGCCGGGTTCTGAGCGGAGTACGGAAGTCACGAGATTGTAATTGGGTACAACATTAATTTCGCAAGCATTGAACCAGGGTATGGCACAGGGTAGGTTGTCTGTACGTGTCACTGACTGCATTTGCAATAATGTAGGGGTCCCGAATGAAGAATATCATACGAAATGATGATTTTATACATCGAGGAAAAAATGTTTCTTATTTATCATTTCTAAAACACACACATACACACATGCACATAAATACAAACACGCGCACACAGACGCGCACAGATTCACATACACGCACACACACAGCTATGTGCGCACAGGCACACATACACACACACACACACACACACACACACACACACACACATATATATATATATATATATATATATATATATATATATAGTGCTGATTTGTTGTCTTATACCTAACTGAAAATCTTTCTACGTATAAAAAATATAGGTAAAGTTTTCTTATATAAACATATATCAAATATGTGGTGCAGTTCTTTTTATATCATATGAAATATTCATACAAAAAGTAGATTAGTAAAGTTAATGATATGAATGGCGAAAAAAATCTTCGCAAACAAATTTATTAAAGTTATATTAACCCACATCGACTGAAAATCTCCTATAAAAAAAAAATTCTCAAATTACCATATTAGTAAAAAACGCTCTCTCTTAAATTAAAAAAGAATCAACCTTAGCGTTGCGACTGCACGCTCCAAAATTTCCTATCCATTAATAATAACAGATTTCTAAAAAAACATATTTCGATTAACATTTAATATTTCGTGTCCCGCTATTACCTGGATTTACTAAAAAAAAAAAAAACAAATCAATTTCCATGCCTGAGGATGGCTGTATGTACAGCTGAAAGTACTTTCAAAATAAAAAGAGACCTTATACAACTTGAAGTTATTAAAAACAAGGATCATAACATTCATCGAGAGGTTCGTAAATGTAACTTTAATAAATATATCTGTGAAGATGTTTTTCGCCATTTTTATCATTAACTTTACTAATCTAGTTTTTATATGAATGATTCATGAAATGTAAATTGAACATACACACACACACACACACACATATATATATATATATATATATATATATATATAATAATAATAAAATAAGGATGCTTTTTATAAGATGCGTTACCATCTGAAACTATACGCACGCAGTTCTGGGAACGATATTTGTTGGAAAATAAAGAGAACTCATTGAATGTCCTAATATATATATATATAATATATAATAATGTATATATAAATAAAAAGAAAGAACAGTAAGATATATAATCTGGTGTTCTTATAGATATTTTTATTTTTACAAAATAGTGCTCAATGTAAATTTACAGAGCATTAATATAAACTGATTTAATTTTGTAATTAAATTAAAGACATTAGTTCCATTTCATCCTTCATCCTCAAGCGAAATGGAATTATTGTCTTTAATTTAATTACAAAATTAAATTCGTAGCTTTTAGCTTCCATTTTTGAAACATGTTTAGAACTGTGTAGCGAAAAAAAAACATATTTTTAAATAAATAATATTTATATATATATATATATATATATATATATATATATATATATATATTGCATATATTTTGGCAGCATGTTTTCATTGATACATGTTTCGTGGTATAATTTAGACATGTCCATCATATTCAATTGGATCCTTTCATATTCACGGATAATAGTTTTGGTGTCGTTATTGAAGGACGAGAGAATATCGCCGTTTTGATACATACTTCTTTTATTCCGAGTACTTTCGGTATAGCACTATGTCATCATCAGGATATTGTTTATTTATATTATATATATATATATATATATATATATATATATATATATATATATATATATATAAGGTTTTGTGGTACAGAATATAAAAATAGATAGGAAAAAATTATGGGACATTTTTTTAAAAGAAAAAGCAAAAAAAAAAAAAAAAAAAAAAAAAAAAAACAACCGGTTTCGTCCCAGGATTTATCAAGTTTATTTTTCTGGGAATAGAAAATTTAAAAAGCCTGCAAATTAATTTAAATTAACAAATGGAATGAAAGAGAAAAAAAATAAATTTCAAGAAATCTAGAGTCCAATAACATTTAGACCCAGTAAGCATTCCCTCTGTTTACAAAGGGAAGGTTCAGAACTATTGGTTAGTTGGTTCTTCCTGGCAACCGGATTCAAAATCCTGGGTGGTAAATAGTTCTGGCTCTGCTATTGCTAAGCATATAATAAATAGTAGGAAATATATGGTTAATTTTAGTGTGGACCGTTTTTTGATTTTATCTAGGTCCCGCTCCTAATATCACTTCAAGTTTCTAGAGTTCTTGTATATCAGATCCCGTGGGCCTTCCCTTTGTAAACAGAGGGAATGCTTATTGGGTCTGAATTTTATTGGACTTTAGTTTTTTGAAATTCATATTTTTTTAATCTCTTCCAGTCGATTCCATTCGTTAATTTAATTTACACTCTTTTATAAATTGTCTATTCTCAGAAAAATAAACTTGATAATTCCTGGGACGAAACGGGTTGTTGTTTTTTTTTAAATTTTTTCTTTTAAAATTCTTTATAAATTTTGTTTTTTTATCTATTTTATATATATATATATATATATATATATATATATATATATATATATATATATATATATATATATTAGATGAATATGCAATCGTCAGGCCTGACGATTGCATATAGCAATCGTCAGACTGACGCCTCTAAGTGTTGACTTCTATGTTCACTTTATATTTACACACGCTCTATCTCTGATATTGAGCACTTTATCCCATAAATATAGCACACCTTAAGACTATATTTCTTTATATATATATATATATATATATATATATATATATATATATATATATATATATACCGGTTGTAACAGTTAAATTGTCCAATTGTAAGATTCATTTTTGAATTGTTGTATCTAAGAAATGATTGAATATATCTTACTGGAATTATCCGATGTTTTTATAACACTACTGGACTCTACTTTGAACATTATGAATTTATTTACCTCTAAAATGAAATGATTATCCCTCTTACTGTTCTGACCTACTGATCCAGATATCCTTCCTACTGACTCCTCTTTTTTAAAATTCATTTACCGTTCTTTTGATGGTTCTTGAATAGAATTTGAAGACAGAAGCCAGACTATCAATATTGGTACAATTACTAAAAGTCTGTATGATCTTTTACCTCTCACCATTGCTCAGTTTGAAGATATAGTGGGGTTTATACAAGAAGATTTTGCCCACTTCTCTTTCTAGCTGAATAAATCATGACTCATTTTAGCCATCGTCGTTTTCCATTAATGGAAGTATTCCTGGAACTCCTTTACGTATTCTCTGAGATTTTCTCGACGTCTTGATGTCCAGTTCCCTACAAGTGCGATTTGATTTTTGAAGAAGAAAAACCCGCAAGTGGCGTGGCCAGGTGAATATTGTGGTTGCCGGACTTGGGGTTTTATGTGCTTGGACCAAAACTGCTGCACATGGCTCAGTTTAAAGATACAGTGAGGCTGACAAAAAACGGTTTTAAACTGTTCTCTTTTCAGCTGAATAACACAAAAGCGTTTTCAGCGATTATTAAGACAAATGGTATCAAGATGGCGAAACGTCTTACCTAGAAACCTGGAAAAAAGAAACACAAGTAGTTTAGCGGGTTTTCATATATTAAACCTGGAGTTACACGATTTGGACAATTTTGCTGGTTCACCAGTCATATAGATATATTAATCAATTTCATATATTATAAAAATTACCTGTGTCGGGTCATTTTATAAGTGCGACAAGTACAGTGTAAACGAATAATACCTCCCTCAGTGTTGATCGCAGGATTAAAAACAAGGTCTGTGAAAGCGAAGATGTATCAAATTGTAGGGTTAGGTGCCGTCTGGCCCAATGGGCTTGAATCGTCACATTTATGTATGTAGATGGTGCAGAGCTGACAGGGCATAGCTGGGCGAAGGGCTTCCTAGACAAGACAATGTTATGCGTGAATGAATATGCTTCCTTATTTCAACCAAGATATGACACGGAAAGTCGTCAGGTGGTCAGCGACGAAGTAAAGCTATGACCGCATCTTTTCATCGGACTGATTATATTGATGATGATACATATTACAAAAACCGCATCACATGTTGAAATACATTTCAATGTAAGACAGGGTACGATATTTAAGATATATATATATATATATATATATATTTTTAAAAAACGTAAATTTCAGATATACGTTATTCCAAAAAAAATTCGCTTGAAGATGGAACAGAGCTTATTTTAACTCAATTTAATTTAAATAATTATATTGAAGTTTTCGGCTCTTGTTTTGAAACATGAGACTTCTTATGTAGCGTTTTGGAATCATATTTTTAAATAAATAATTATATATATATATAATTTTTAAATAAATAAATAATTATATATATATATATATATATATATATATATATATATATATATAAAATGCTCTATTTATATTTACATACAGTCTGTCTCTGATATTGAGCATTGTTATCCATAAATATAGAATAACTTATATATTTATGTATTTATGTTTTGTATATATATATATATATATATATATATATATATATATATATATATATTTGTATGTATATTTGTTATGGTCCAGGTTAGAACCAAGGAAGAACAACACGAAAACAAGAGTAGAAATAACGTATATTACACGAAATAATAATACAAGATGTGGAAGGTGTTAGTATGACTGTCAGTCTGGTTTGGAGTGAACTACTTTCGGCTCGACTCGATTCGTCACTTTCTCTTGAGAGGCGTAGAATACATAGTGTTATGAAGCGTTCATTCTGTAGTCATAGGTAAGGACCCATGACAATATATATATATATATATATATATATATATATATATATATATATATATATATATATATATAGATAGATAGATAGATAGATAGATGGGTATGAATATATTGAATGGGTTCGAGAGAGATATATAAAGAGATAGATTAAAATTACCACATTTTGTATGAGCAAAAATGTATACTGAGCACTCATTGCCCATAAAATAGAACAAAGTATCTATCTATCTATCTATCTATATATATATCTATCTATCTATCTATCTATCTATCTATCTATCTATCTAGGCTTATATGCAAATGGACAAAATGAAATGTTAAAAAACAGTTATATAGATGAATAGATAAAACAAAACAATACAATTGAATGTACTATAACAAATACACACACACACACCTCTATATGCGTGTCCATGTATTTATAAGTATATATATTTAGGGGAATACAGTTGAATGATTTTCTCAAGTCATCAGATAGATAGATAGATAGATAGATAGATTTGAACAGATTTTATATACAAATTAAATTTGAACAAACTGGGCCAAACAGATAGATGGAAAAAATTGAATCGAATATAGATAGATAGATAGATAGATAGATAGATAGATAGATAGATAGATAGATAAAACAGACAGATAAATAGATACAGAGATATGAACAAACAGAGATAGAAAGAAATAAAAAAAGAAGGAAGGAAGGATAGATAGATAGATAGATAGATAGATAGATAGATAGATATGGGCATGAGTGATAAATACACACATATATACATGCATACGTAAACATATGTGGACAAACTGAGATAAATAAATATAAACATATTTATATAAAAATGAGTTGAGATAGATTGATGTATATTAACAGACTAATAGGCAAATGCATGCACGTAAAGAGATAAGGAGATAGATATGAACAGACAGATAGATAGTGAGAAAGAAAGAGAGAGAGAGAGAGAGATTGAAAAGTTAAATGAATCAACGAAAAGGCAATTCTTATCCTCAATTGTCCTCGTCTCATTGTCAACGGTACAAGAGGATGCCTGGGCAGCTGTCTTCTCAATCGTCTGCTTAAGTCTTCATAATTAGTTCAGTGTCGCCATGGTTATATAGGCGGGAGCGATTGTATTGCAATCGCTCCGCAGTGAGCCGGTCCATTTCCGCCGCGAAGCCGGCTCCATTATGTGACGTAAATGATCGTCTCCTATCTACCGCCTCGCATCTAGTCCTTACTCGATTCCTGTAGAGGACAAGGAAAAACAGACGTTGCCATCCATTGTTTCGGCTTAGCGAGCATCATTGGACCGGTAATAACTGAATTATTTAAGATTCATCAGAAAGTGGACATAACACCATCGTCTTTCCTCTTCTCTCTCTCTCACACACCGATTTCTCATTACACACACACACACACATATATATATATATAAGTAATATATATATATATAATTATATATTAGTAATAAATATGGACGTTTTACCTCACCGTTAGTAGAACTGTGAATTTCATGGGCAACGCAGTACTCAGGTACTTATTGATATCTACCGGTGAGTTTAAAAAAAGTATACTTAATATTTATATATAAATTATATCTTTGCTATTCTACATCAAGTACTGTTTTATTAAGATCAGCATTCAGTTTACGATGTTATACATTTACAATATATATATATATATATATATATATATATACAGTGTAACTCGGATATAAGAGAGTTGTCGGGACCGGAGAAGAAGTCTCTTATATCCGGGTTTCTCTTATATCCGGGTTTGGTCTATATGTATACATTAACACAGGCTCTAATTTGGTACCAGAGAAAATCTCTCTTATATCCGGGTTTCTCATATATCCGGGTTACATTATATATATATATATATATATATATATATATATATATGTGTGTGTGTGTGTATGTAAGCAAATATAAGGATATAGATCCGACAGTATGAAGAAAAATATACTGAAAAAACAAACAAAATCCTAATATGCGATTATGCTGTTTTAATGTTTTAGACCGAAACGTCCGACGTTGACATTAAACGTTAATATATATATATATATATATATATATATATATATATATATATATATATATATATATATATACAAATGCAAGATTGACATAAATGGAATAAAATTTGATAGCCCAAATACACTATTTCTTTAAAAAATGCTCAAGACAAAGTAGAGCATATAATATTTATTCAAAATTATGACGTAATCCTGTTATAACATCACTACAAAAATAGCGATTTTGTTTCAACACTTCGTGATGCTGTTGTTTGCGATGGTTTGCACAATCAACACCATCACTTAATTTATCCTCTCACCATTGCTCGTTTGAGAAGACAGTCGGTCTGCCACAAAACAATTTTATTCTGTTCCCTTTCGAACCAAATATCTCAAAGCGTTTTTCAGTAAATCTTACACCAAATGGTATGAAGATGGCTAACCTTTTTATTTGAAAACCTGGCAAAATGTGACTCAAATAGTTTAGTGATTTTCATTAGATATTAAACATTTTGTAGGATTTATAATTTTATGTTACGTGATTTGGACAATTTGACATAATTTTAAAAGCAATTCTCTTGAAAACTAGTAAGTTTAGCTTAATGAAATTGAACAGTTTAGGTGCTGAACATCATAAGTGCATTCTGGGGCCGATTTCATAAGTGTTCATTATGTGTACCGCCTGTGACACGGCACACGTCAAGTCGGTAGTTAAGCACTTGCCCAACACGCTGTAGCATGTCTGCGGTAATATTATCCAGCGAGGATGGGATTTTCTGATTGAGTTCATCAGTGCTAGCAAGACAAGTAGGGACGTATCCCCATAAAAAGAAATCACACGGTGCACAGGTCCGGTGATCACGGAGGTCATTTCACCAGAAACCTGTCTTCATCTCCACCACGCCCGATCCATCTATCCGGCAGATTCTCATTGAGATAACGAAAATAAAACATTGAATATAAACTCTTGATATGTTTCTATATATTCTGTGAAAATTTGAGGTTATTTCAACAAGAATCGACAAAATTACTGGCCTGTGAAATGATGTCAATTTTTTTTTGGACTCTTTCTATCTATCTATCTATCTATCTATCTATCTATCTATCTCTCTCTCTCTCTATATATATATATATATATGTGTGTGAGTGTCTCTCTCTCTCTCTATATATATATATATATATATATATATATATATACATATATATATTTTTATTCAAACATATCTGCTCTGAATTTTACATTGACCTCTCTGGATATCAGCCTCCTCGAGTCTATCCATACGCATTACCTAAGTTTGCATAAACTATATATATATATATATATATATATATATATATATATATATATATATACGTCTCTTCAATGATGAGGCCTGGGCACATTCTTAAATCAACCACTGGTTAAATCATTCCATTACAGTTCGGATGTTGTATGCAATCTTCATTTATTTTGGCAACAAATTGGCAGATGGGAAATACAGGTTCAATTTTATCCCTGTTGATTTTTTTTGTGTTGTGGCTAAGATGATGACTTTTCCCGCCACCATATTATATAAGTACTAAATGAACAGAAAATATCCATTAGTTTTAATGGCTTTTAGCTACTTTCAGGCAATATCTCTTGACCGTTTTGCCAAAGGCGCTTTATATGGTTACCAAGACAGGGTCTGGACATAAGAACCCTGACTACGACAATGACAGATGTATCTTGGAGCGAAGTCTGGGTCACAAATGTTTGTCATTTTTTGGCTTCACTTCTGGTGTTTCGTTGGGTTGTCTAAGTCACCTGAAATTACTCCGTGAAAAAGACACCACCATTTTGATAGGATTGAAAGTAAATAATTGAAATCTGCATAATGCAGTTCTAAAAGCTGCATGCCATATTGTACGCTGTATTCCCTGTTAATATCCCTCTGAAAGTTCTCCACTGCCTTAACCGGGTATTGAACTCACACTGTCACTGGATCTAACTACCACACTGGCACAGTGGATAAAGGCGTTTAATACCCGGTTAAGGCAGTGGAGAACTTTCAGAGGGAAATTAACATGAGATAACTGATAACAGACATCTATTAAACATGGCACGGGGAACTAGAACAGTCTACCCCAGTGAGCGAAATAAAGGGTTCAGTTCGACATTCCAACCACCTGAATGCCGGAGCGTACAACGGCCGAAGCATCGTAATAAATATGGCGACAAAGATGAGAACAATAGTCCGAATAATCTAAATAAAGGAATAATCCACCCCACCAATAAATACCTTAGTCTGAAGATCATAGTGATAATCAGAAATATTAAAAAACCGGTGTTACACCGCAACAATATCAGCACTTGAAAACTGCGTCGGCATGAAACTCAGAGTTGAGCGATCAGTGTAAGTATTATGTATACTTTTATTATATATCAAATAGTTCTGTAATTAACATTATCGTTTTTGTTTTTATATATATATATATATATATATATATATATATATATATTTAAATAATTTTTTTTTTAATAGAACACGTTTAAGAATAAATTTGGTGAATGATCGCCTCTTGTCTGGAAACTTGAAAAGCAACTTTACCGAAATTATTCTCCAAGAACTTTCGACACTCGTTAGTCGTTTACAAGGAGTGTAAATTGAATATTTAGATATAGCCAGTCTACTATTTATTGTGTTAACAATCTAAAATTTGCAATGGACTTTGGTTCGTTTATTACTACAGATTATAATTTAGCTTCACCTGACAAAAATTTCATTGAAGTTCAAAGGCATTTTTACACGTCTGCCCCTAGATTGAAAACAAATTTCATTATAATAATTTCAGTCCCTTTTCTTTCAGCATTTACAAAAATCGCCGTAGAAAAAATATGGCGCAAATAAGCTTCATTCATGCATTGTCTGAAGATCATAGTGATTCCTGAAAATACCAGTCACCATTGTGTTGTTGCTTCCAATGACCACACTCTCTATATCCATGAAGGTTCGATCTCCAATATTGATCACAATATGGCGGACTATATTAATCAATTAGATTTGAAATCGAGTAACTTCAACAAGCCCTCATATTTTTTTGCCATATTTAAACAGCCGTTGTACGCTCCGGCCTTCGAACTGAACCCTTTAATTCGCACGGTGGGATAGATTATTCTAGTTCCACGTGCCATGTCTAATGGATGTCAGTTATCAGTTATCTCTTGTTAAGTCACCTCTCGCACTTCTCCATTGTTTGAACCAGGTACTGAACTCACAAGTCTGTGTCCTGCTACTGGAACTAACCAACGAATTTATCCACAGTGGCATGTGTCCTTAAGGAT